TATATATATATATATATATATATATACACACACATACACATACACACACAACTGACTTGGTGATTTGTTTGATTAATTACTATTCGTAATTACCTAATCTGGTAAGTAGCAGCAGTAAAAGTCATGAAATTACTGAGGCAAATAATCGTACAGTTCTGTATAAGGACAAAAAAGTGAATAAATGAATGAATGAATGGATTGAATCTGCCTCTCTAATTTCTCTGAGGATATTTACAGTGTTTCGTGGATCCTATGCAAAGTAAAGAATCTAACAAAATTTGCAAGTTTGTGGTGTAGTGTTCTCCTGCTGTCTCTAATTAATTTTCTTTCAGTTTGGCTAAGATGGTGTGGCAAATGAAATTATAAACAAACAAAAACTTCAGCTCTATAGCTGAAATTCCCCAATTACAAAAACAAAAACTTCAGCTCTAGAACTGAAGCTTACAAACAAAAACTTCAGCTCTAGAGCTGAAGTTCGACAGTTACAAAACAAAAACTTCAGCTCTAGAGTTGAAGCTTACAAACAAAAACTTGCCAGTACAAACAAAAACTTCAGCTCTAGAGCTGAAGTTCGACAGTTACAAAACAAAAACTTCAGCTCTAGAGCTGAAGTTCGACAGTTACAAAACAAAAACTTCAGCTCTAGAGCTTAACATTAGGCCCGACTACTAGAATGCTGAAATTTTGCGTGATTGCCTTTGCTACTTTAGCCCCGTATGCTGAAGTTATACGAAAAAGCGGGTACACTTGCAATTTTTTTTGCAAAGCGGCCACAAGTTAAAACGTGACACAAAAAACGGGTATAGATGCAAATGCCCCGTAAACGCATGCATTAATTCCTTTTCAATTTCAGAAGTACTGTCCTGTAAAATTCTTATCCATATTTTTAATTAATTTATTTATGGGTGGACCTGAAAATAGTTAATTCTTAGATGCTTCAAAAAACATCTTAAATAGATTCTAAACGCGTAACTTAGTAACATGTTGACATTTATTTTATTACACCCACTCTTTGAAGACATCATATATAAATAGTGATACTCTATTACTTTTAAAATTGTAATTAACAATGCAATTAGCTCTTAGATATTAAGAGGTCAAGAAGTTCTATACAATTTCAGATCTAAGAGACAATATAAATATAAACACCTCTACCTTAACCAAAGGGTCAATGGTATAAGTCATGTTGGGAGACAATTAAGAATTACTAGTAATTTAGGGAGCCACTATTAATTCTTTAAAGGATATGGGAGAACTTAAAGAAATAAAAATACAAAAAGAATTAGTAATATTTTGGGATGGTAACGTGAGAATTAGTAATGCATGGATTGACAATACGGGGATTAGTAATAAGGAAATTGTAATGTAGAAATTATTTCTTGTGAGATGGCTGGTTGTATAAGAAAGCTAGTTTTGGATGAGAAAAAAGATAAAAGATAGAAGAGTATCCTTGTCATTTCCATTGAACGAAAAAGAAGTACCAAACAATGTATAAGTTATACCCAATTTTATGCGGATAGAAAAAGAAAATCAAACCTTGCATAATGAATATTGCGTTTTATAACATGTATTATAACTCCTAATGAGTCCTACTAAACGGGCCATATATAGTACACAGTAAATTCAATACTTTGACAACTTATACTATCCAGTGATATGATTCAAATTTCTGAATTTTATTAAGTATTCATACTTCATATTGTCAA